TATTTGCAAATATGGCCACCACGTCAATGTAAGTGAAGCCTTAGAACCATCACATGCGGAGCTCCACATAACCTCAGCGCTCGGCACCTCTTCCAACAATGGAAACTCACCGAAATGCACCGATCGGCGGACGAGGACCGTCCCACATCTTCTCAGCGTTGTACGACATTCGAGGATCAACACCCTGGAGAGGAAACACACAGGACCGGAATAATCAAATACAGAAGAGGCGAGCCCAATAATGATATAAACAGGACATCATATATATACACATGTATAATAATAGTGTGTGAGACTGTGAGGGGACATTAGAGTGTAAGCTCCTTTGTACAGAAACCGATGTGACTGTGGGTGGAGGGGACATTAGAGTGTAAGCTCCTCTGTACAGAGACCGATGTGACTGTGGGGGAGGGGACATTATAGTGTAAGCTCCTCTGTACAGAGACTGATGTGACTGTGGGGGAGGGGACACATTAGAGTGTAAGCTCCTCTGTACAGAGGCTGATGTGACTGTGGGGGAGGGGACATTAGAGTGTAAGCTCCTCTGTACAGAGACCGATGTGACTGTGGGGGGAGGGGACATTAGAGTGTAAGCTCCTCTGTACAGAGACTGATGTGACTGGGAGGGGGCACAGAGTGTATGCTCCTCTGTACAGAGACTGATGTGACTGGGGGGGACATTAGAGTGCAAGCTCCTCTGTACAGAGAGGGATGTGACTGGGGGGGGACATTAGAGTGTAAGCTCCTCTGTACTGAGACTGTGGGGGGAAATTAGAGTGCAAGCCCCTGTGACATACTTAGCGTCCTCTTTACCGCACTGTGGTAAATGAATGTTATATACACACAAATACGGCACTCGATCCCGATTCAGACCCTCCTCGCCTCTCTCAGCTACGGCCTCCGCTTCAACTTCCGCCCACACCGGAAGTACGTCACCCACTGTATAGGGCGGGAGGTGCGTTGGGCGGGACTGGGGAGGATCCAGCTAGAGGCGGAGCTCAGCAGTGACAGGACGCGGAGGCCCCACAATGCACCGGGTGTCCTGCAGTAATCGTTCAGGTGATACGGCTGTCCCGGGTCTGTGTGCACTGAGGGGGAGCTGAAGGGGTTTTGTGGGGTCAGTCACGGCAGCCAATCAGATTCCTGCGGTCAGGTGACAGGATGTAGAGGTGGTCTCTATGGGTTACCGTGCTTTACCTGTAGTATTGGGCCTTTCAGCTCTAATTTTTCAAATAAAGAATGTATAACAATGTATATATAATATAATGTCTCCCCGCTATATAGGACACACATGGCTTCTGATGTACATGACAAGGTGGAGCAACACACTGGAGTGACAGCTCTGTCTGTGGACCCGGAGAACCAGCGCTCTGAGAGCCCCGCCCCAGCGTTGACCCAGGGCACAGAGCCAGGTGAGCTCTAAATACTGAATGATAACTGATGCCAAAATATTCTGTACATTTCTGGTACAAAGCATTGTGAGGTTATTTACAAATGAAATAAATGTGCTTTTTCTTTTTCAATTTTGCACTTTTTTTATGTGACAAAAATGTTAGAAAAAATAACAGAAATCAAAAAATCAAAAAAAGTTTAAATATTATTGGCTAGAAAAACTGAAATGAAAAAGATCAGCAGGAAAATAGTAGTTAAGGGGAGAAGGGGTTAATTAGGGCTGATAAGGGTAAACTAAAGGTTAATCATGGGATAAATAGGAACATCACTGACATCAACATGCAGGTAAAAGCTCATCTCTTTCATCTGTATATGAATGAAACAGTATACACAAAATAATTATCTTTATATCTCTCTATCTCCCTCTGATCAATGTTTATAAACATGGTCCGTTTTATAACAGCAGCAGCTGCATTTCGGCCTCTTTCACACCGGCATTCTGATCAGGTCCGCTTGTCATTTTTTCAGGCAGATTTGATCGGAAGCCCAGTGTTAGTCTGAGGGTATCCGGATCTAAACAGACCTATGTGTGTTTACATTAGATTACCCCCAACTCTGCCCAGGTCCGGAAAGTCAAACAGAACAGAGATAGGAACTGACAGGCAACCGTGTGAAAGGGGCCTTACACAGCATTTTCCGGCTATCATTTTGGCAGTCGTTAATTGTGGGCAGTTGCAAGGGGTGGGCGTGTGTGGTGGGGATTAATGTGGCAGAAGGACAGGACAAAACACACACATCCTGTGCACTTCCATGAAGTGTTTTGGACATAGTAGTATTGACATTTGTAGTATTTCCCGTGTCCATAACTGGTTGATAAATACTGATCGGTATTGTAGTGCCATTGATTTGTATTGGGGTCTCAATCTCACAGGTGCGGGCCAGGATGAAGCCATGTTTGTCCACGCTCAGTCCTATGAAGACCTCACTGGAGAGGTGGAGGTTCCCCTTCCTCGGAGTCCCGGCCCCGATGGCACAGTGGAGATCAGCAGCATGGAGCAGATCAGTGAGGACTTTAGCAAGCTCAGCACTCAGCTGAGTGTCAGCTCTGTACAGAGTATAGACCAAAGCCCGGAAGAGGCCACTGAGCAGGGACAGGAAGACTCCACTCCTGCTTCCAGCCCAGAAGGGGACGGGGGAAGTCGGGTTCTGGATGACTGGTACCGACACCAGAAACACATCTTTGTCCTGAGCGAAGCGGGGAAGCCAGTGTATTCTCGGTATCGGTCAGAGGAGGCGCTCTCGAGCACGGCTGGGCTGATGATGGCGCTGGTGTCATTTCTGGAATCGGACAAGAACGCCATCCGATCCATCCATGCAGGTGAACTTACAGCTGTGTCATGTTGTGTGTTCTGTGTGTTCTTAAAGCAGCCGTCCCAGCGAAGTGTTTAACCAGTTGACATCCGCGGTGTTAAACCCCCTTCCCATCCAGGCCATTTTTCAGTATTCAGCGCTGCGGTACTTTGTCGGGTCTTTTCTGCCCGTGCGTGCCCGCTAGGGGGCGCGCGCGAGCAGAAAAAAATTGCCGTCTGGAGACGGCAACCCGCAGATGCTGCAGTGCCGTCCGTCCGTTTTTTTACTACGGGCGGACGGCAAGAGGTTAAAGATGAGAAATGCAGAGGCGGAGCTTAGCTTCACCTATCAGGACGGTGTGCAGATCCTGAGACATAGACAGCAGAAATGACAATATAGCCAAATCTAAGTACAGTAGACGGATGGCTAAACTACTGTGCAGTACCGGGGGGTACTAATCACTCCCAAGTCAAGAGAGACATAATGACCCACACCAGGGGGAACTCTGCACTCGCTTCCTCTATAAAGGGGTACATAGGTTAAAGTCAACCAGTAATTTTGTGATAACACAATATACAGCAACAGTGTCTTATTTTAGATCCACCTTTTATGTCAACGGTCTGCTGCAGACAGGAGGAAGCATTTCTTCAGTCTCTCCTCCCCCAGCGATCAGACTGCTACAGGCAGGGGGAAGCATTTCCTCAGTCTCCTGTCCTGCCAGTGATCGTCTGCTGCAGGCAGGGCGAAGCATTTCCTCAGTCTTCCCTCCCCCAGTGATCAGACTGCTACAGGCAAGGGGATACATTTCCCCAGTCTCCCCTCCCCCAGTGATCAGACTGCTGCAGGCAGGAGGAAGCATTTCCTCAGTCTCCTGTCCTGCCAGTGATCGTCTGCTGCAGGCAGGGCGAAGCATTTCCTCAGTCTCCTGTCCTGCCAGTGATCGTCTGCTGCAGGCAGGGCGAAGCATTTCCTCAGTCTCCTGTCCTGCCAGTGATCGTCTGCTGCAGGCAGGGCGAAGCATTTCCTCAGTCTCCCCTCCCCCCGTGATCAGTCTGCTGCAGGCAGGGGGAAGCATTTCCTCAGTCCCCTCAGTGATCAGACTGCAACATTGTCCTTTTGTAGCAAGTCACAAGGTGAGAGGCTGAACTGTGTCATATATTTTTGAACACAGCCAAGAACTGCACAGGCACCGGGATTTACATGATTGTGTTATCTCTGAGCCGCCATCTCAGTCCAGGACGTAGATTGTGATCCTGGAGGATTCCATAACAGAGATGGTGTGGTCATCTGGAGAGACAAGCAGATGAAGGCATTGTCAGGGGGAGTCATGTGATCTCTGTGAGAGGTAATAAATACCAGGAGGGGTCACATGATACATCACTCAGCATGCTGCACTGTACATGACAATATATATCTGATCTCCGGTCTGCTTGAATAAAGGTGAGAAAGGGTTTTTAGGATATACCGTTATGTGAATATGACCCCCCAGCCCCCCATTCCTGGTATATTTTTGGTTTGTCTGTTGCAGATGGCTATAAAGTGGTGTTTGTGCGTCGCTCTCCTCTGGTTTTGGTGTCGGTGTCTCATACTCATCAGCCAGAACAGGAAATTGCGCAGGAGCTGCTCTACGTTTACTATCAGATTGTAAGCCTGGTCACCGGCACGCAGCTCCACCACTTCTTCCAGCAGAGGCCGAGCTATGACCTGCGTCAGCTCCTCTCCGGCTCCGAGCGCATTACGGACAGGTTGCTGGACTCCATGGACATTGACCCCAGCTTCCTCCTGGGGGCAGTGAGCTGTCTGCCCATGACGGCCAGCCTGCGGGATTCGGCCATGTACTGCCTCCAACAAGCCAAGGCCAAAAGCCTGGTCTTCTCCATTCTGATGTCCAACAACCAGCTGGTGACTCTGGTCAGGAAGAAGGACCAGTACCTGCACCCCATCGACCTCCATCTCCTCTTCAACTTGGTCACGTCCTCCAGCTCCTTCAGAGAAGGCGAGGCCTGGACGCCCGTCTGCCTCCCCAAATTCAATCCCTCTGGCTTCTTCCATGCTCACATCTCGTATCTGAGCCACAAGCCTGAACTCTGCCTGCTGATGGTGTCCACCGACCGAGAGGACTTCTTCACAGCCTCCGACTGCAAGAGAAAGATAGTGGAGAGGCTGGAGAAGAGGGGAGCGTGGGCCTCCCTGAAGGAAGTGCTGGGGAGCCCCTTCTATGACGTCACACAGATTGGGATCCCAGAGCTGAGGCATTTCCTCTACAAATCTAAGAGCTCCGGACTCCTAACCAGGTGAGCAGGGGGCCCCAAAAGGTGTATAGATGGGGGAGGCCGGCAGGGGGGTCTAATGAGGTGTAAGGAGAGGCTGGCCTGTGTCCAATGAAAATTGTGAATAGGGGAAGTTGGCCAGAGGTAGGGGTGTGGAAATGAAAAAAT